TGAATTCAGTTTAATAATTATTAAAACGTAAAGTATTTTCAAAGAACTAATTTCTAGCAACAGCATAAAAGCAACACCAAACCATTATTCAACACTAAGGTTATCATTCCTAAAAAATTTCATAAAGTCAACTTTAAAGAAAACAAAAGATTAATCTTGATAAAAGGGATTAAATTGTAAAATTCATAAATTTATAAATAAAATATTTGTTTCTAATCGAATTTACATCAAGGATGAAAATAAAATAAATGCATAATTTCGAACAAATTAGAAATGCAAACAGGAAAAAAAAAGTAAATCAAAAAATTTTCAATCGAATATTTCTCAAATTAGGAAAAATTCTAGGAATAATAAAAGTGTCTGTATGTATACTCGTAATACAGGATAGCAGAAGTTTTAAGCGATCAGGGAATTAAGGAATCGCAATTAGCAGATTATAAGAGAATAACCCCACACAGACGGCATATAAGAGATTTATTAGTAATATATACCATGATTATCAATAAATTTTCAAGTACATATTATATAATACGGAACACAGATGGTAAATTTTGATAATGGATATGTTTCTCTAATGAATCACATAAAAATATTCTTCAATTTTTAGATAAATCAGAGAATACTCATATAAAAAGGAATAGATTGCATAAAATTAATTTTTAAGAGTACTTATACAATACTAAAATATGACCAAAAAGATGAAAAGATAAGAATCCTAAATCAAGATTATGCCGAATTTTTGTTTTAAGATAAGGAATTATTTTAAAATTGCGCACGATATTTTTTAAGCTGATTTACAAATTTAATCATATTCCAGTCAATATAGATATTAAATAAATTTCGTATGTATTTTAATATTTTCTAGATTTTACTAAATTAATGTTTCTATTTCTATTTTCCTTTTTTTTTTTTTGTTGTCTTTTGTTGTCTGGTTAATATATAATTTTAAAATTGAATTTACTACTAAATACGAATATAATATTATTTTTAAATCGGATATTAAAAATATTCAGCACAGCAAAAATGCAATAATTTTCTGTTTTTTTTTTTTTCGTTTCTACAAAGTTCTACCACATTTTTTTTTTTTTTTTGCGAAGATATATCTCTATATATCTCTATATATATATATATATATATATATATGTACGTACGTAATTGTAATTTTCATATATTTCATAAATTATTTAAGTATATTTAATTTTTTATTTTTTGTTTTTTTTTTGTTTTCTATTTAAATTACTTTTTTAAAGCTTTACCATCATTATTTCATAAATTTTGTACAAGAAAATAATAATAAAAACATTAAATTCTAAATTAGAAAAAAAAAAATTAAATCAAAATTTTTATTTTAAATATTTTTATTTATTTATTTATTTATTTATTGTTTTAATCTAATTTTCATAATAATTTTTAATTTTTTTTTTCGTTTTATAAATATTTTTACAATTAATGAATTATATAAAATTTAAAATAATTAAAATTATATTAGTAAACTCTTAGATAATGCAATTAATTTTATTATTAGAAATTTAGAATAATGTAAACATGTATTTTATATTTAATATATATATAATAAATAAATTAATTATATATAAATGTAAATTAAAAGTAAAATTTATAATATTATTTATTACAAATTAATATAATAAATTAAATATGAAAATTATTCTTAAAAATAAACTTAAAATAAATAAATAATATTATTGAAAAAAATATTATCAAGCTACTCAGAAAATTTTATTAAAAACTGAATAAGTATATTAAAAATTTTTTTGTAATTAAATTAATAAATTAAGAGATTTTATTTAAGAAAACTAAAAAATAAATGATTTTAAATTAGTATTCTAATCATAGAATCTATAATTTTTAAATAACAATTTTTTTTCAATACATTCGAGATATTTATACAATTGATTGCAATTAATATATTATTAATTTTAATTATATTAATAATATTTTTTATTAAATTCAAAATAAAATATTATAAATTTAATTTTATGTAATTATTTAACTCAAATCTCTAAAAATATATAATAATTTTTTATTGATACAAAAATTTTGTAAATTAAAACTGGTTGCATAAAAAATTTAAGTAATTAAATAGGATTTTAGATTATTATAATTTAATTTAAATAGATGATTTTAGAAATCTTTTAAAAAGATATAATACTAAATTGTAATTATTTTAAAAATTTATAAAAATTTTATTAATTATTTTGAAATAATAAAAATATCAAAATATATAATATGTATATTGCAATTTTTCTGTATATATCGAATTATATATAAATGCAAAAAAAAAAAAAAAAATAAATAAATAAAATAAGAAAGCTATTACTATTAATTTAATTACATTAACAAAAATATAGAAAATTATAGATTTTGAATTATAAATATTCAAAAATAGTAATAAAAATGCATTTAAAATAATTTTTTTTTTCTTTTTGTATAATATTGAAAATTTATAGTCTTTTAAAAAAAAAAAATTCAAAATTGTAAAATCAAGATTAATTCATTATTATTTCATATTATTTAAGAGACAATCATAAATAAATAATTAAAGAATTTAATATATTAATATTAATTAAATATTTTAAAATAAAAAAATTATTTGAATAGAATTATTTTAATATAATTATAAAATTCATATTCGATATCTGGCAGTTTATAAAAGAGAATAAACAATAAAGAAAACAAAAATTGAATTCAATTTAAAATAAATAACAAAATAATAAATGAAATATTAATGAAGAATTAAAAAATTATAAAAATAAATAAATAAATTAAAGTAAATAAAATTAAAAAAATAAGAAACAAATTTTATAATAAAATAGGATAATAGGACAATAGTTATCTAGAGCTATTTAATTTTTTTTTTTAAAAAATATCATAATAAAAAAAAAATTAATTCGAGAAATTGCATATATCTAGGTACTAGAAAAAATTTATATTAATTAAATTTCTATTAATTTTAATTTAAAATATAAATAAAATATAATTAAAAATAACAATATTATGTAATTTATTTCTATATTATATAATATTTATTATTTAAAATAATTAATTTTTTTTATTAAATCTAAAACATTTAAATCTTAAATTTAGAATACTATGAATTTTTTTTTTCTATTTTCTTCTAATTTCTTTATTTTTTTTTTTTTGTATTATTTTTAATATTTTTCTTTTAATGTTTTTTTTTCTAATATTATATATAATTTTAGTTTTTTTAAATAAATTTATAATAAATAAGAGATTATACAATTTAATATACATATAATTTTTTTTTTTATAATTATATAATTTATTAAATTAATATGTATATGTATATATATATAAATAAAAATATATTAAGTTTAATATTCAAGTTATTTGGTTCTTGTTTTACATTTTAAGATTTTTATTCAATTTCATTATTATTTAGTAAATACAGAATGTTTTTCTATTTTTTTGTTTTTTAAGGAAAATATAATTTTTTAGGTATATTTATTTATAAAATTTAACATTATTTAATTGACATTATTTAATTAATCAAAATAAATTGATTTTTTTTAAGGGGGGAGGGGAGGCGAATTAAATTTTAATTTTAATTACTTCTAACAAGGAACAACCTGGTTTGTTTTAAATTAAGCACACAAATTAAAATTAGAATATATTCAAATGTATTGTGATTGTTAAGAAAATTATTTAAAATTTTCAGAATTTGCAAGCTATATTTAAATTATGGTTTATAAAGATTATAAATGAATTGTTATTAAAGGAACAATAAGGGTTCTGGTTTCGTTTTTCGTAATAGAAATTTTATAAAGATTTCATTTCGCTTTAATATATTGTTATGCGTAATATTAACAGATTTAATATAAAATCAACAGATTTAATGTATGATTTATACTAATAGGTTTAAATAAAATAAAATAAATACCATAATTAAATTATGGTTAAAAATTTTAATTTAATAAAAAAAATACAATAATGTAAGTGGATATTTTAATATAAAAATTTTAAAATACCTATTGTATTATTAAACAGTTTAACAACAATTGAACTACTTGAATAAGCTTTCATTATCCAGTATTTTATCGGTAGATGTTTTGTTGAACAAATCTTGTGGAAGAATAAAATCGTGACAAAAATACATAGTATAAAATATTAATTTACCACGTTTATATGGCAGCTTTAAGTGAAAACTCGAAACCTATTTTATTATGTCCGGACTCAAGTCATTACTTGAATTGAAATGTTAATAATAACTTAAAATGGAACAGTTAAACGTCATTTTCGAACTTTCAAGAAGACATAGTAAAACTGATGTAGCTTATGTTTCGAGATGATTTCAAATCAAGTACTCAAGCTACATTATAAACGTTACAAATGACTATTGTTCACTTATTGTTAAAATTTAATGTCAATCGATCAATTGTTGTCAAATAGATAAAATGTCAAAAAACTAAAATGACAATTTAATTATTTATTAAATTTAAATTTTATAATAATAATTTTGAAAAATTTTGTAAAAAAAGTTTTTAATAATTTTATTTAGAAAACATTCTGTACTATTTTAAATTTTTTAATTTAATATAAAATATTAATGTTTATATCAAAATTCTATATATTTATTATAAAATTATATATACATATACTAGAAATATATATTAATATTTTATACTAAAAATATCTTTTTTCTTGTGTTTTAAATTTTATTTAATAAAGAATTCTAATTGTTTTTTTTTTTTGTTGTTTTTTTTTTTCTGAAAGAGATATGAAATATCATTAATAATTATAATTTATTTTTACAATTTATTTAATTTTTTTTTTGTTTTGTTTTTTTTTACAATTAAATTTCTAAAATATTCACACTTACTTATGTAAAATTACCAGGAACAATAACAAGTAGCTCTTCTTGATTTTACAATCAAGAGATTTTTAATTTTTGTTTTTTTTTTCTCTTTTTCAATATTTGAAGTGTAGAAAAGTGGAGAAACAAAAAAAAAAATACAAAAATAAGAGAAAAAAACGAACAAAACAAAAAAAAAAAAAGCAAGTTAATTTTTTAACATTGGACGGTGGTGTAATTTTTGGTCTTTAAAAGTTATCTACGCAAAAAGCATAATAGTCCTCTTCCTTTCTGTGAACGTGGTGCCATTAGCATTGGTACTTGATTTTTATGAGTCACTTTAATCTGAAATAAAAGAAAAAAAATGAAGAGATGAGAGAATAAAAAAAAATAAGAGAGAAATTCTTTCTAAAAATTAAAATAATAATAAAAAAGAAAAACAGAAGAAAAACAAAATATAGAAAAAAGGTTGAATTAATAGAATAAATTCAGCTGAAAGGAAAAGAGAGAGAGAGAGAGAGAGAGAAAAGAAGACAATAAAAAATACAGAATCAAGAAAGAATAAAGGAATTTTAAATAAAGGATAATCAAGGTTATAGAAAAATATTCTTCTCCTTTTTTTTATTTAATTTAGATAAAATTTTTATATATGATTTTTTTTTTGGCCCTTTAAAATATTGCATGTTATTCGAAATTGATGCTTAAACTTTTGATTTAACGAAAGAAACAAATTTTTTTTTTAGAATACGAAAAAATTAACTTCCCCCTTGACACATAATTATACAAATTGCAATGCAATCTTGAAAGATTCTAATTCCAGTATGAATTCAATAATAATTATAAATAATTGACATATAAGAATATTGTGAAAATTTTAAAATTTCTTCATATACTATATAAGAACTCTAAAAATATTACCACTAGATTGCTCAAGGAAGTCATTTTGACTGCTTTTTAATTAGCAAAAAAAAAAAATGATATATGCAATGATTATGAATTTTATAATATTTTATGACTTTTTATACAATATAAAAATGCGTTCATTAATAATTGTAGTTACCACTCCTCCTCCCCCTCCCCCAATTCCAATCTTCATTTCCGGTATATATATTGTGTTATACCTATATTGCCCAAAAACAGTCATCTTGACTGCTAGTGAAATTTTAAAATAATCAAATAACTTATTATTGAACTGAGTAAATTTTTATATATGACCCGTTTTCAGCTCCGTATTGAAATAACAATTATTTCGATGACCGGTTATATAATGGCATGCAAGTATATGATAAATTGTCGATTCGAATGTGCTTTAACTAGATAATTTGCAGTGGCTCAATAATATACATTTTTAGAAATACAGTGATATTTGTTCTAAATAAATTGTTTATTTTATTAAATTTAGCGCCCTAAATATTTACTAATAACTTGTTATTTAACTGTAAATAATATAAAAAATATTAAAAATGAATTTTAAATAAATTTCTAAATTAAATAAATTTATACATTCTGTTATTCTTTCACAATGCAGTCATGTTGATTGCTTTTGGGCAATATAGGTATATATAAAATTCCGGTTTTTCTAGTGTTAAGTACAATTAACATTTTGATAGATACAGCTAAGAAATCAGCGAAATTCGGAGGTAAGAAAAAAAAAACATATAGAATCGGAAAAATTTAAAATAGAATTTGGGGTAATTGCAAGATGAATCTATTCCTCGGATTCAATCGTATCCCGTATTCGTATCCCGTATTCGTATCCCTGGAGATCAATAATAATGAGGAGATATACATAATATTTAAGTTAAAGATAAAACACGTAATTATACTTATAATTCAACGGCACAATTATAAGTAAAGGTGGACTGTATAACACAAAAAATGTGAACTGTATATAACATAAAATATAACAAGTACACGAACCTTATATATTCCTAACATATTATTTCATATTATTATAACTTGTAAACTGTATTAAATTCCCGGAGAAAAAAAATAATAATTAACATTTACAATTTTAAAAAATTACAATTAAAATATTAAAATGGTAGAGTTGAGTTGGTTTTTTTTTCTCTTCTTCTTCTATTTTTTTCACCGTACATTTAAAAGTTATGTTAAAGGTTTAATGCCGATAGCATAATGAGATTATTATAATGTTATATTTGTACATTTTTTTTATCCTCATTTACTTAGTTACATTTGCTTACTTATAACAGTTATAATTAATGCATATGAATAAAATTATATACATATAATATTACCTAGTACTTAGATAATTATAAATTTTGGAAGATAATTTTAATATTTAATTTTCTTATCTATTATATTACATAATTATAACTTGAATAAAAATTTTTATTATTATATAAAAATTCTGTTATACAAGATTTTATATGCATAAATGCGAATATGTATTTTAAAAAATAAAGTAAAAAAATATTGTTAAGAGTGTGAGAAGTTTTTAAACAGACCACCATTTCAAAACAACGAAAGATTTTAATTTTAAAGGGAGTTCGCTACTTTAAAAGATAATATTAATTTGAATTATTAAATGAAGTTTCAAATAATATTTAAATGAGATATTTAATTTTAATACAGCATTTAATTAAATGTACAATTTAAATAATTATAATTTATTTATAATTTCATTAACTCTTTTATATTTAAAAGTCGAATCCCTGAATATTTTCGACGGGAATTCACTAGTATATGTAGGGGACAAAAACCAGCTATAGAAAATATTTATATTAAAAAATTTTTTAATAGTTTTTTTATACCCTGCACTTCGTGAAGGGTATATTAACTTTGGTGTGGAGTTTCTAACTACTTGAAGGAGTCATCTGCGGTATGGACATATATATATATATTCTTGCTCAGCGTAAAATTCTGCGTCGATTTAGACATGTCCGTCCGTCCGTCCGTCCCTCCGATCGCACGATAACTCAAAAACGAATAATGCAATCGACACTAAACTTTCACAAGTTTTTTCTGTTGTGCCAAGGACGAACCCTATTGTTATTGAACTAAGTCGGACAACGGATTCGGGTAGCTGCCATACAACTCAAAGAGTTTATTTTAAATATTTCAAAACCTAATAAAGCTATAAATATATAATTTTGTATAAATGTGTCCAATTATATCCTACACATGCTCTAAAAATTATAATGGAATAGCTGCACCGGTTCGGGTGGCTGCCATATAACTCCAACAGCAAATTTTTTATATTCGGCAAAATAATAAAGTCAGATTCATGAAACTTGGCAGTCATATGTCCAATTATAGGTCAGACATGTCCGTGAAGTTTCTATAGAATGATTTCACAGGTTCGAGTAATTGCTATATACAATAACGAAAGGTGCAGGGTATAATGCAATCGGTTTATACCGACTGAAACGTTTTTACTTGTTTTTAATTTTATCTTTCTCATTTATTATACAAATGAAGGCAAATAAAAAAAAGGTAAGCCAAAAGGTAATAAACAGATTATTTATAACATTTTAATTCTTAAATGTCTTAAAATAAAATTAATTTTAAAAAGATTTAACAAATGAAAAAAAAAACTGTTTATATAAAATTAAAAGGGCGATAGAATTATCAAAATTAATTTTTTAATTGCTTATATATTGTTATATACGAAATAAGGTTTTACTCTTATATTTTCTATTTGCAATTATAGAATGGAAGGGATAAAATTATAGCATTAGTTAAGAATTAAAAATAATGAATTTCAAATAAAATTAGAAAAAATTTACTTCGAATTAGTATTAATCTGTCTGTCAATCTGTTCACAAAACTTTTAGATCGTACAAGTTAAAAAACTAAAATCTCAAGCGGGAAGCGAGTACAAATTAGTATATACATTATTTTGTAGAAGAAAATATTCTGGTATCGTTCCTGCTCCTCAATTTATAGCTATTCAAAATATTAAAATGTTCGTACAATTGTAATTTCAAGGTCCGTCCTAAATATATAAGAAAACATGTATATGGTAATTAAAAAATTACCATATCCAGATCATTTACAAGCTCTAACTTAAATTATTTAAGGGAAAATGTGCTATTCTGAAAACCATGAATTTGTTCTATTACATTTTTGTTATTCAATTTATTTATATACCCATACATACAATTGTCTACTACATAAATTTTAAATTTTGTTTTCTTTTTGTAAATAAAATATCAAGTGAAAGGGAATTTTTTAGTTAAAAATATAATTTAAAAAAGAAAATTCTTGGAATTAAAGAAAATCACTTCCTTTTGCCACACAATAATTTTTTGCAAAATAGAAAAATAAAATGAAATTGTTAAATATAGAAGACAATTTAATTGGAAAACAAAAATCCATTTTATATCCTGGTGAAAATAAATTAAAATTAGATAATTATATAATATTAATCTATTATATAGATTTTCGGATAAGATTAACAGAGTCCGAGAATATCATTATTTATCTAGAAAAGTGAGTCCTTTTTTCTTAATTTTTTTTACTCGATAATAATTGTTTTTTGATAAATTTCCTATATAAATTTTGAAATTAATTATTCTATACGTTTTATAGCTTATTTTTCGATTTTTCCAATTTAGCATTAATCGAATTGAATTTAATTAGTGTCGAATAAAATTTAGAGAAAGAATTTGAAGCCAAAAATTGAAGCAAGAACGAATTTTGAAGCGAAACACTTTAAGTATTGATGTTGTTATACAAACTCGTATTACAAATATAGAAATTATTTAACTCATATATTTTTGTATTTATATATGAACCGATACCCTATGTGGTTATTCTTAATTATTATAATAATCATATTAATAAATCTATGTCATGATTTCTTTAATTAAAATCTTGTATATATGAAAACGAAATTTATAAATTTTAAATGTTATTAAGTGTTCATATACTACACCCTATTCGAAATTCAGACTTTCTTCTGTAATTAATTTTAAAATGAAAAATTTGGAAATTAACTCAAGAAATCTTTACTTTTTTTTTTGGTTTAATTCTCGCTTACTCTATACATATATAAATATAAAGTTTAATTCAAATTGTTGCTTCTTTTATTTCAGTAATTTTTAAAAACATACCAAAAACCTTACAAATTATAGCCTAGCCTTGAAATTCAAGTTATTATGTTATACAAAAATTAACAAATTATTATTTTAAGTGAATAAGATCAGATTAAAGAAAGAAGAAAATAATTTTTATATGATATTATTTCTATATACATATTTCTTCATAATGTATAATAAGATCCTTTTTTTGAAGGACATTATTTTAAATAGTATTGCCACAACTATTCGAATATTATTTTTCGTATAATTAAATAATTGCTAATTAACATTTATATAGTG